TGTCACACTTAAATGATTCAGATCATCAACAAATTTTAATAGTACACAAAGATAACCCAAGTAAATACAAAATGAAGTTTTTAAATTATAATTTAATTTATTAAGTAAAAAATCGGTCCAAACCTACCTGACATTATGTAAAAAGGTAATTGCTCCTGCCTACCCCCCATCCTTGCTAAATAATGAATGAACTGTGATTAACCACATTTTTGGAAAGCTGAGTTAAATTTCACTGGCCAAGCCTAGGCTTGATTACTGCCAGACCTGTTGAATCAAGAAATCACTTAAATTGAAGCTGTCTGACAAAGTGAAGCACTCTTAAAGATCTCAAAAAGCAACACATCATGCAGTGATCTAAAGATATTCAAGAACAGATGAGAAACAAAGTAATTTACATATATCATCAGGGTTACAAAGCCACAATGAGAGCCATTACCCACAAATGTAGCAACAGTGATGAACCTTCCCAGGAGTGGCCATTCTACCCCCAAACTTACTCCAGGAGTAGAAGGGTGACTTATTCAGGAGGTCATAAAAAAACCAAGAACAACATCTAAAAAATTGCAGGCCTCACTTGCCTTAATTAAGGTAATTGTTCATGATTCAACAATAAGAAAGAGACTGGGAAAAAATGGCATCCATGGGAGAGTTCCAAGGCAATAGCCACTGCTGACCAAAATTAACACAAAGGCTCGTCTCACATTTGCCAAAAAAAAAAAAACTTGATTATCCCCAAGACGTTTGGACAAATATTCTATGGACTGATGAGACAAAACTTGAACGTTTTGAAAGGTGTGCATCCCATTACATCTGGTGTGAAATTAACACAACATTTCATAAAAAGAACATCATACCAACAGTGGTAGTGTGATGGTCTGGGGCTGCTTTGTAGCTTCAAGATCTGGCTGACTTGCCATAAGTGATGGGACCATGAATTCTGCGCTCTACCAGAAAATCCTGAAGGAGAATGCATGGCCATCAGTTCATGACCTCAAGCGCACTTCGGTTAGGCAGGAGGGGGCTTAAGGGGCAATTACTTTTTCAGATAGGGCTTAATAAATGAAATCATCATTTAAAAACTGCATTTGCATTACTCAGGTCTTATCGTTATGTAATATTAAAATTTGTTTGATGACCTTAATTATTTGGGAGTGACAAATATGCAAAATAAAATATATATATATATATATATATATACTATGTTGCCTAAAGTATTGGGACACCCCTCCAAATCATTGGATTCAGGTGTTTCAATCACCTACATGGCCACAAGTGTATAAAATCAAGCACCTAGGCATGCAGATTGCTTCTACAGACATTTGTGAATGAATGGGTCGCTCTCAGGAGCTCAGTGACTTCAAGTGTGGTACCGTGATTGTTTGCCACCTGTGCAATAAGCCCATCTCTGAAATTTCCTTGCTACTAAATATTCCACAGTCAACTGTTAATAGTATTATAACAAAGTGGAAGCAACTGGGAACAACAGCAACTCAGGCCACGTAAAATGACAGAGCGGGGTCAGTGCATGCTGAAGCACTCTGCGCAGAAGTTGCCAACTGTCTGCAGAGTCAATAGCTAAAGACCTCTAAACTTCGTGTGGCCTTCAGATTAGCACAACAGTACGTAGAGAGCTTCATGGAATGGGTTTCCATGGCCGAGCAGCTGCATCCAAGCCTTACATCACCAAGTGCAATGCAAAGCGTCTATATACATGTATGTACATATACACTATATTGCAAAAGTATTGGGCCCCCTGCCTTTACACGCACATGAACTTTAATGGCATCCAAGTCTTAGTCCGTAGGGTTCAATATTGAGGTGGCCCACCCTTTGCAGCTATAACAGCTTCAACTCTTCTGGGAAGGCTGTCCACAATGTTTAGGGGTGTGTCTATGGCAATGTTTGACCATTCTTCCAGAAGCACATTTGTGAGGTCAGGCACTGATGTCGGATGAGAAGGCCTGGCTCTCAGTCTCTGTTCTAATTCATCCCCAAAGGTGTTCTATTGGGTTGAGGTCAGGACTCTGTGTAGGCCAGTTAAGTTCCTCCACCCCAGTACAGGGTCATAGTACATGAACACATAGGAAACCCAAGTGCTGTTCCCAAACTCATATTAATGATTACACTGCTGCATGTTATAATACACTATATAAGGTGTTCTATCCGGTTGAGGTCAGGACTCTGTGCAGGTCAGTCAAGTTCACCCTAAAACTCTCTCATCCATGTCTTTATGAACCTTGCTTTGTGCACTGGTGCGCAGTCATGTAGGAACAGGAAGAGGCCATCCCCAAACTTTTAACACAAATTTGGGAGCATGAAATTGTCCAAAATGTCTTGGTATATTGATGACTTAAAGAGTTCCCATTCACTGGAACTAAGGGGCCAAGCCCAACCCCTGAAAACAACCGCACATCATAATACCCCTCTACCAAACTTTACAACTGTCACAATGCAGTCACGCAAGTATCGTTCTCCTGGCAGCCGACAAACCCAGACATGTCTAGGGGATTGCCAGACAGAGAAGTGTGAATCGTAACTCCAGAGAACTGCTCTAGAGTCCAGTGGCGGCGTGCTTTACACCACTGCATCCAACGTTTTGCATTGCATTTGGTGATGTAAGGCTTGGATGCAGCTGCTCAGCCATGGAAACCCATGTTGTGCTAATCTGAAGGCCACATGAAGCTTGGAGGTCTTTAGCTATTGACTCTGCAGACAGTTGGCTACTGACCCCGCCCTGTCATTTTACGTGGCCTACTACTTCATGGCTGAATTGCTATTCATATATATATATCAGGAAGGGGACAAATACTTTTTCACAGCACTGTAGATGGCAGATCAATTTAAATGTAAATGTCACTAATCGGGAACAAGCAGAACCTCAGAAAAGGAACTGACATCTGCAAGTGACACACACACAGTATGTTCTTAAAAGATACACTGGCCAGCCACTCATGTTATAGCAGACACAGGCTTGTGCAATAGGGCATAACATGTATGCTTGTGGGCATCAGGATCAGGAAGAGGTGAGTTTCTCGAGTCAAAGTCAGTGACCTCATCGTATACCAGAATTCTCTGTAGTGTTTAGGGTCACCAGTAAGCCTGTTTTAATCCATTAAGAAAGCTCCTATAGACCTCCCACAGTAGTGAGCAAAAAGGATCACAACCTTCATTGCAGAGGTTGCATTACATCTCACGATCCCTTTATAGTAAGCAAGCAGTGCTATGATTAGTTCATTAATATTGTGGACACCCACCCCATAATTAATTGTCACTCTGTTGAAGTTATCTTTTAAGGTATAACTAAAGAACATTTTTTTTAGTTTTGGACAGAGTGGAGATGGATTAGAATATTTTGCATTCTTTGTCCCTGTTAAGGAGATTCACCTTCTCTATGTGTCCTGTTTACCATTATCATAGAAAGTGAAAGTAGAAGAAAATCCCAAATTTTGGGTTGTCCCCTGAAGAATAATAGTAATCTTCAAATGGTGACACTAGTTCTGGTGACCTGGGAGGCCCAATGGATTCCCTTAATTTGCAGGATTTTCCTTTCACTTCCTGTTTGGCAATGAAGTGAAGGTAAATCACTCCAATGGGACACAGATGGCAAAACAAAAACTGACAGGGGTTATAACCCTTCCTTATTCTATCCAAAATGGAAAAAAGTTTTGCCTATAGTTATACTCTAATAAGAAACATTTTCATTGTAAGTTCAGACTTTTTCAAAGTGAGCAGTTTTTTTTGTGAAAAGTACTGTCAGCCATAACAATCAGTCATACTTCACCTTTACATTTAAAAGGACTGTCTAGCCAAGTGCCGTGTTTGCTAGATGCCGATGAATTAAATAAAACCTTTCCTGAGTCATTTCTAAGCCATTAATCTGAAACAGGTATACAGATCAGAAGTCAGAACTCCTTACTTGTGCACTTGTTCTTGCTTAGTGACCTTAATAAAGTTTGGGATCTCACTGTTTGTGGTCTGCAAACTGCTTGGTCACTTGTGGTCTTGGATTTTTAATTTATTTTATGTTATTCAGAATGCAGCAAAGATGATGGGAACACAATAAGGTGGGCAAGAACACCGCTAATTCCAAGGTGGGTGGGAAGAGAGTCAGAAACTATAGGAGATATCTGGTTGCCAAAGTCTCTGAAAGATATAAAAAGCCAGCAAATGACTCAGGCAATATGGCGTTTGGGTGCACGGACTCCTAAGAGCCTGTTCACACTGATCAGTTTTTGATCAGTTAAAAAAAGCAGAAGAAAAATGCAATGCTTTAAATCCTGTGAAACTTTTCACACTGGTCCGTTGTGTTTCAGTTTCTTAAAGTCCTGCTTGCCGCATTTCTGGTTTATGTTTGGTGCGGTAAGAAAAAAGGTACCAAAAATGCCCCTCTCTATTGAAATGAATATATACGACAGCAAAAACGCATCAAAAACCCAACGTGCTTGTGGGAAGTGCTTTGTCCAGTCACATGTCCGGGGGAAAAATACAATACAAACGTGGCAACGCATAAAAAATGCATTATGCCTTGCTTTAAATTTAACGCACCGTGGCAAAAACACAGCATCAGTTCACTGCATTGTAAAATAAGCCTTTAGGTATGGCTGCCATTACTCATCAACCATGCCAGTTGAAAATGAAATATAGTGATAACAACATTAAAATGCAGTTGCTTTATTATTCCAATGACAATGATTTTGAGTGCGTGCAGATAATATTCCCTATGTGTTATTTCTATTCAAATATCACCCGTTATTGTACATACAGCGTGATTCAAATTTGCTGTGAGTTAGTGTCATCCGCTCAGATGTTTTTCCCCATTTCCAATAACAGGTGTGGACTGCTACCCTACTAATCTTATCAGGCCATTCCCTTTCCGCAGTATACTCCTCCAGCCGTAGTTTTAGTGTTGAATTGCTGTTCTTTATTAATAACCATAGTTTACCTAGTATTAAAGGAAATACGATTTCAAGGCCTGCTTTTTGACTGAGAACTCTTTGCAGGATCCAAGAGAATAAGTGACAGTGAAGTATCTGACTATGACTGCGATGATGGCGTTGGGGTTGTGTCAGGTAGGATTCCAAACGCATGCTGCTTCTGAAGGCAATCAATGTGTTTTTATTATGTTTTATTTATGATTTTCAGTACTTATTCACATTTGACATGCCTAAATTTATTATACTTGGGAAAATATGAAATACTGCATATGAGAATTTGCAACCAGCAGGTGGTACTGTGCGAATATGGAAAACATCAGATTCTAAATGTCTAATGTTTAAAGTGAATGGTTCCTTTGTTTGGTAAAAGTTCACTAAGTACCCTATTTTCTCCAGCAGCATTTACTTACCCTTTTTTTCCTCTCCTTCTCCATTTAGTCCTCATGAGTGAACTGAATTATCTAGCAGTTTTGGGTATAGGTGAACATGCGTCTCACTTCCCAACTCTCAACTGACAGCAATGATGCATTGTAACTAGCTAAACGCTGTCACTTGAAGCTCAGGAAGGACTCCATTCCCTAAGTATGTTCCATCAGTTTGGAGCTTACATGGAGCTTTCTTTTCATGTTTCCCAGCAATTGAATGGAATGGGGTAGGAGAGAGGAAATGTGAGTATATGCTGCTGGGGTGGAGGAGGGACTAAATGATCCTTTTTGTTTAACATGCAGGAGCAAAGGAAGTTTATTTTACAACAAAAAATAAAAAAAATGTAAAAGTTATTTTCGTTTAAAGAGGAATGAACTCAGGAAAAAAATCACGGGACAAAGGACTAATCACCAGTATTGTCTGTGGTTTTCCCTGCATCTGATCTTTTCCCATTACTGATTTAAGCAAGCCATAGTTGATGTGATTTTCTTTCTTGCAACCATGGGTTACAGGAAAGAAAATTACTCGATTTCGAGGAGGATACGTTCCACGGAGCTATTGTGTTCTACTGATGGGGAGCCTTCTCTGCCACCAGAACGCAGTGATTACTGCTAGCAGCTATAGCTTCCAGCAGTGATTACTGCTAGCAGCTATAACTGCCAGCAGTAATAGCATGTAAAAAGTCTGACCAGGCTGGGTCTACTGAAGGCAACTGATGGATCGACTTTAGTGCAACCAGCATGCCCATAGATAGATCAAATCTTGGTCGGTCCTTGCTTAACCAGCCAAGATTCATTACATCTATGGCATGGCCGGAGCTAGGGGGGTGCGGGGGTGGGATATGCCTCCCCAGATTTTAGTTGCCCCCCCCCCCCAACCCTAACCTGCCACTATGCTGCCTCAACCTGCCACTATACTACCTTAGCCTGACACTATGTTAATCTCAGTTATGCATTGTATGAAGAGGAGGAGCTCTGCTGCCTGTGCCCAGGCTATGTGCAGTGCAGGAATAGGATAAAGAGCAGTGCCCCTGTCCTCTGCCCTGCCAGCAGTGACCCCTGTCCTCTGCCCTGCTGACCTCCCATCCTCTGCCCCTCTGACATTTTTTACTGCACCCCCACATTGGACAGGCTAGATCCAGCCTTGATCCAGGGCTGGCTTAACCATGGCTTGTTCTGATCTGTGTCTCTGTGTGGAACCATTTGTTAGAGACAGGGTTTTGTTTCCTCATATCAAAGCATCCAGAAAGGATAACAGTGAGCAGCACAGTAGTGAAATCACCAAATTTCACTCCATATCTTATGAGACCAGCAGTCTGAGGCGGCAGTGCCTTAGATTTTTACACTCAGATATACAGCTTTGAGGCTGAAGGCACAGGGATGTCCAGGCACCCTCACATACCGTAAAGTGAACTGTTATCCTTCTGAGAGAATTTGAGACAAATGGTTCATATTTTAAGGATAGCACGTATGTTGCCTATAACATAGCAGATCTTCACTTTTTGAGTTCAAGTCCACTTTAAAGACTCACTCTGGGATCAGTATCACTCACCCCCCTCTATGTAACTGCAGGAACCAAAAAAAAATCTAATTGTCCATTTTTACTTACCTTAACCTACAGTCACATGAAGGTGCAGCCCAAGTCTTTTCTTCTTCTTCTTACTTACTGCTTGAAGGTCCTTCCTTAGGTGTACACATCAGTGCCTTTGTGATGTGGTCATTTGCTAGTGGATGGTCACCGGCAGGGTTGAACAGGGCTTGATGTCATCACACGGGGACGGTAGTGGACTGGTGATCTTGGAGCACCATCACAGCCCTGCATTAGCCGTCCCCTTCCTCAGAACTATGCAGACTGTCAGCATAGGTGAGAGTGGTCTTAGGGAGGGTTTGTAAAGGCTTTAAATGCCCCTATCTTTTAAATTCACATGAATCTGTTGGACACAAGACAGGTGATGGTTTCTAAAGTTTTTTTTGTTTCACATATTCTGATTGTATCCTGTCATTGTTCAGATTACCGGCACAATGGACGTGACATGCAGAGTTCAACATTATCTGTTCCAGAGCAAGTCATGTCATCCAATCACTGTCCCCGGACAGGATCCCTCCATGTAGATAGTATAGGAAGGACGAGATCCTGGTCTCCGAGTGTTCCACCTCCACAAAGGTACAGAATGTTTTATGTCTAATACAGTCCTTTTACTCCAATTCTGACCTCTGGGAAAAAGTCAAAACTACCCCCATACTGCAAGGGTTAAATGCTTGCTTTTTGTCCAGGGTATGTTTAGATGCAATTTTACTTACCTTATTAATCATTTCTGAAGTTTTCCTCCTCGCTGTATGACCAGTCCTCCAAAGCCTTTTTTCTTCGGCACTCCATCCATTGGTTGCATTCTGACGTCATTACATACAATGCAGGACCAGCAGTCCTGCATTGTAGGTGACAATGCTAAGGGGCCCACTTACAACCTGGAGTGTCGCAGGGAAGAAGACAGTGCAGTCTGCCAGGGGAGCGAAGGTCAAGGTGGATATTATAGTTTATTAATGAAATACTAAACGGGGGGTGGGGAGGGGGGGGGAGCCCCCCTGCAAGGGTAGCTTTACATTTTCCCCAGAGTTCAGCTTTAACATTTTACAAGAAAGCAAAAGGCTTTTCTCTGTGTGTGAGTGAACATTGATTCTTAGTTCTATCTGTGAGAAATGTCTTTTTGGGATATTGCTCTTTTACCATTGGCACTTCCATTACAACCTTATCATCTCATTGCTGCAAGATGATTCTGCTGCTGGACTTTTATTCTATTTTAAATGCAGAAAATATTACCTGTACTACATACTACTTTTCACGTAGCTAATTTGCTTAAAGAGCACCTGTAATTTAGAAGTAGACATAATGTTGTAAAGGAGGAGGTAGACACTACACTTTCAGTGATTAAGGTTTTATTGCATTTGGATGTGCCATAGGTAGGATTTACCCTGGTCCTCTGTGCCTTCATTCTGTATATTACTATGGCAGTACTAATAGGTTAGGATGTGGAGAATAAGATGTGACATCATAACTATTATTCCAGGAGTAGTGATGAAGTGGTGGAGAGATGGTAATATCAAACCTGTTATTACCATTTGCTTTTCCCCTCTTGATTTCTCTCTGTAACCTTCACTTCAGAGTCTCTGAACATCACATGCCTGCAACCTACCTTAGCAGATACAGGTGGATAAACAGCTGTATTATAGGTTCTTAGAGTTTTGGATTTTAGGAGTCTGTCCACCAAAATATGATATCAATTAAGGTCCCTTTCGCACTGACGGTCCGATCGGGTCTGCCTGTCAATGTTTCAGGTGGACCCAATCAGACCTGCCATAGCTCTCTATGGAGCAGCGGGTGTCAGATGTGTCCACTGACCCCTGCCGGCATCCAATCCGATCCTGTGCGCTAAAAACAGATGGATGGGGATCCGGTCCCCATCCGTCTGGTGGATCAGATCGGATGACAGTCGGATGGAAACAGACAGGCGGTCTGTTTTCATCTGACTGCCCCATAGAAAACAGTGGGCTGTGTCTGTGTCCATTTTGCATCAGCAGAGCAGACACAGACCTGTCATCCACTTACTCAGCGGGTATCAGCTTAGAGAACCCCGCTCAGCAAACGGATCCACCTACAGGTCCGCCCCATCTGAAAGGGGCCTAAGGTAGGGTATAGGAGTTTACGTCCTCCACTGGCTTCTTAAATTCCTCTGGATGTGCACTCACCCCCATTGAAGTTGCTAGTAATCCTTCCTTTAGATCCAGTTGCACCATCCATCTTAACTGCTTAAATGTCCCCTTTTAGATCCCCCTGATGTATAGGCATGCATAAAAAGAGAGTGTTTCCTAAATGTGAGCATCTTTCATGGCTGGCAGCCAATCTCCACACCTTCTTGCCTCCTCTATGTCGCTGTTGGCCAGTAAAGCCACCCATTATAGTGGTGGGCAACTACTGCAGTACAGGATGTCATCTGGAGCAGGGCTAGGTACACAAAACTGCCTGCATCTATAACAAAAGAACACCCCATGGTTTAGGTTTTCTGAGGCTTTTAAAAGGAGAGCTGAACCCATGTGCAGGCACCTGAGAGTCAAGCTTTAATAACAGTTATATCACTTCAATTACTTGATAATGGTAAAATGGGGCATGATTAACATCATGATTTCAAAACTCTCTAAAACCTTTGTAACTGAAACCAAAAATGGTGCCTCTTCTCTATTTGCAGCATAGTGTATACTGAAAAACCACAGGTGCACTGAAAGAAATACACAATGCTATTGTGAATTATGTTTTTATTGTAAATAACGTGTCTTTCTCTTGCATGATATGATATTCCTGGCGTATGGGATGAATTGTGAGTATTGGGAGGTCATCACAGGTGCTTTATACTCTCTAATGTAACACTGAGGAAGGAGCGCAATTATTTGTTTTCTATTTTATATGGAAAGGCAAGACAGGAAAATAGTCAGTTTTGTAGACAGTTGTAATACCCATAATGAGAACACCCTGTAGGCACCTTTGAACTATTGTCAGTGGAAACAAATGATAACAATATTAATACTAAATATTGTTTGTTGGGTTGATGATTTTACAATCTTGTCTTAGTATATCACATTTGTCAAAAAAGATTTACTTGATGTTGTCGCTGTGGTTTAGATTGGTTTACTTTATAATTACTTAGTTGGAATGGCCCATAATTTAAATTAGCACCAGTTTGAAAAAAAAAAATAAACTGACTTTCCAGGTTGGTCCATACCTAATATGTAGTCTCACGTCTCCTACTGCAGCAGGGTTATTCTTAAGCCTGGGACACACAGTAAACCTTTTCTCGTACAGCCCAGTGGGCTGAACGAAAAAAAAAAAACTGAGGACCACAGGAAAAGGTTGCTGTGTGATTTTAGTATGGCAATCTCCCCTCTAGAACACAACAATCAGCACTCTCAGCCATCAGCTGCTGGTTTTCCAGCAAGCTCGTTCAACAGACATAAGATCGACTTCTGTCAAACAAGGACCCATATACACGGGCTGAATGTCGGCCAGTGTCTACTGTACTGGCTCATTTCAGACGATATTCAGCTTTACTCTTGCTGTGTAGTAAAACATAAAATGCTAACAGGGAGGTCAAAGTGTATGTTAAGCCAAAACTTTTTTTAATTTTGAATAGAGTGCAAAGGATTAGAACCTCTTTTGGTTTCCTACTGCTATCAAGGGCTCCATTAGAGAGATTTCCCTTCATTTATGGTCCTGTTGAGAAAGGTTTCACCAGAGAGGAAATGAGGATAAATCTCCAAAAGCAACATAAACAGAAATAGAAGCATTTTGTTTTAGTGGAGCAGGGAAAAGTGTATTGTCCCTGTTAGATCCATAATGCTATCCATGCTTTTGTTGCAGGTTTTCCCTCTCTTCTTGGCTGGTAATGTCACCTGGGCAGTAAGTAAGGGGAAATTTCTCTGACAGAGCCCCAAATAGCAATAACCAAATGACAGGAACTCTAATCCTTCCCCACTCTATCCAAAACAAAAAAAAAAGAAAAAAAAATACTTTTTGGGCTGGGCCTACACTTTAGGACTTTCTTGTAGTTGTCATGGTAAGCTGATGAGCAACTAGTGGGTGATTTAACCCATCTGTATCCCTGATTACTGAAGTTTCAGTTTTATTTTTTGAAAAGGGTTTCTCTTTGGTAAATGCATGTGTGTATGCAATGAGCTTAAAAAAAATCTAACTGGCAGTATAATTTTATTGATCACTTTTGCAAGTATAATTATTGCCTTTTGGCTGCTGTTGCACTACAAAACCAATGGGACGGTGCTATTTCTTCAGTGGTAACTTGGGGGGTTGTGATGAATGTTGGTGAATATATAAAATATCTGACTCCTGGTAGGCTGGATAAACATCCTGAATGTATGCTAATGTTTTGCATTGTTTGGCCTCCTTTGGACACTTGTGGGTAAATTCAGTCTAGTAGGAAGAATTCTGCATCTTGGATAACTCAAGCCATTGGCTCTGTCATTGCCTTCAATACAGGTCCCTGATCCAACCATGTGACATGCATGTGGACAGTGGGGGTTATATGAAAAGTACAGCATTATTTATATGTGCTTAAAAAAACATGCATTTTACTGAATCTTTGCTATGCTTTACTTAAGTTTCCATATTTACAGACATTATACTCGTACAGTTAAACCATTCAGAGCATTTTTTGTGATAATTGGACAGTATAGGGGTTGTCACAGAAATTAAACAGTTGTGGTCAGTGTGGTGATGCCACAGTCTTGGATATTGAAAACTTGACCATTGTTAATCACTGTTCTAGATGAGACATATGCCCCTGTGGGGTGGCCTCCTACAGTTTGTTGTTCTGTTTTGTATGGCCACTGTACATAGCACATTTGTTGCACTTGGGCTCATGTCTTTCAGGTACACCATGAGTGTCTTACAGGAGGATAAAGCTGTACCATCATGGCGGATTACCATGATCTTCTTTCCCATCAACCTTTGCTGATTTAAACATTTAACTGATGCTGCTCTTCCACTGTCTCTGATTGCCCCGAAGTAGCCAGTCTTCTACTAATTGCTTGATATCTTGCAGTTAGCAGTTTTAATAAGAGTATTATAGAACAAGCTGTATAGCGAATGTTCATCTGAAACTGACAAACTTCCCTTTCTTTCAGTAGGAGTATGGAACAGGGACCAAGAGGGACAAGATCTGGCCCTGCACAATACAATTTCATGGGCAGAGTGGAAAGGCATCGTGTATTAGATAACCACTACTCCCCAAACAGAGAAAGGTAACTAAAGTACATAGCAAATCCATTGAATAGGCAGAAGATGCTATTTTAGTGAGAGTTAGAGGTTAAAGACAAGGTCCATCAGAATCTGATTTTTCATTTATAGGATGCTAGCTGTGTGAATCATATTATGACTTGCCAAATCTCTCAGGAAATTAAAGCTCTAAACCCAAAAAAACAGAAAATGATCTTGCAGCTTACCTGTCCTTAAAAGAGAAGGTTAAAAAAAAAAAAATATATATATATATATATATATATATATATCTATCTTTCCTCCACCGGCTCTAAGACGGAGAACTGAGCGATCAAACACTATTGACTGCCCAGTTCTCGGTGTTTAGTGGTCAGAGAGCCAGTCACTGGCTCTCTGCTCTGCCTCCACAGCACTCACTGGAGCGCTGAACTGTGGATGGGGCGGGAGGGACTGACTCAGGCTCTCAGTGGCTTGTTGAGAAGCTAAGCCAGCTGCCGGTCCAATCATCTGGGTGGATCCCAACGTTAAAGTCGAGATCTTTCCAGAGCCTGGACTGGCTTAGTGACGTTAGCCAACAGTGGGCTGTCTGCTGAAAGCGTGTCACAGGAGTGCAGAACGAACTGCACTCCTGTGATCCCCAGGACAAGTATAGCCAATATAGCTTTGGCTATACTTCTCCCTTAAATGTGGTGGCTGCATTAGTTTTTTTTTTTTCTTCACCTGGTGAATCTGAGACTCATACACTTTATGTCCTAAGGTGATAATGTTACTGTACTGTATCTATGGAGGAGCAGAATTGTCACACTAAGCTGCCCCCCCCCCCCGATTTGGACTACATCCTCCTCTCCTTATCGCCATTTCAAGAGGGGTGAGTTTGTAGTTCATAGAGGATAGCTTGTTAGAAAAGTTGGTATATGAGTTCAGCTTCAGCTTACAGGTAGTGATTTTTAGCAAGATCAGAAGAAATTTGTCTGTACTTGCTGAAAATGTTTTTAGCCTGAAAAAACTATACCTGGTGCAGCAACCACATCTAAGAACTTGTAGGTCGTGCTATATCTAATTTTTGTTCTTGGGTTTAGATTTCCTTTAAATGTTGCGATCTCTCTACCAGATTCCTATCTCTGTCTCCATGTCCTAGAGGCATCCTAGTTGGGGTGGTTTATTGATTTGACCTTTGGAACATGTTGGTAGGAGTTTTAGCTCATTGTTGGAACACCCAGATCAGCGAAGGTTTAAGACATGAGCCAGGGCCATTTTTTAAAGACAAGAGTCCAAACTTTGCATTTTTTTCAGATTTTTATGACTTCGGGAAAAGACACTTCTCCCATCCCCCAACATTTCTTTGCTTTATAAAGTTTGGCTATAGTAGCATTGGTCACATACTTTTTTTGCTTCCTTTTTTTAAAGGTTGGAAATCTTTAAATTGCTAGAAATCGTCAGCATAAAAAAAAAAGAGAAAATATGTTGCTGAAATAAATTACTTCTGCCAGACTGCCATTTTAACACATTTTTAAACTGTCTCAAAAGCCAAAACAGTTTTTTGCTCTTGGATAGAGTAGGAGAGGAAGATCAGTTCTCTATTTATCCTGGTGACCATTGTCACTGGGACTGAAAATGAGGAAAATCCAACTTTTAAGTTGTCACTGGAACATGACTTGCAACTGGAAGGGGAATCTTTCAGTAGGGACACCTATTGCAGTGACAGTTATCTAAGAGGGCATTACCCTCACTTTGTAAGGATTTCCTCTACCTGATGTGTCTACGGGACAGAATATGAAGGAGAATCTTCTCAATGGGATATAGAAATAGATGTACAGTTGCAAGAAAAAGTATGTGAACCCCTTGGGATTACGTGGAGTTTTGCATGAATTGGGCATAAAATGTGCTCTGAACGTCATCTAAGTCACAACAATAGAAGAACACAGTCTGCTGAACATAATACTACACAAACATTAGACGTTGCCATGGTTTAATTGCACATAACATATAAACATTCACAGTGCAGGGAGGAAAAAGTATGTGAACCTTTGGACTTAATAACTGGTTGACCCTCCTTTGGCAGCAATAACCTCAAGCAAACGTTTCCTGTACTTGCAGATCAGACCTGCACAACGATCTGGAGTAATTTTGGACCACTCCTCTTCACAAAACTGTTTCAGTGTAGCAATATTCTTGGGATGTCTGGTGTGAATCGCTCTCTTAAGGTCAAGCCACAGCATTTCAATCGGGTTGAGGTCAGGAGTCTGACTGGGCCACTCCAGAAGGCGTATTCCGTGCTGTTGCAGCCATTGTTTTGTTGAATTACTTGTATGCTTTGGGTCATTGTCCTGTTGCATCACCCATCCTCTGCGGAGCTTCAGTTGGCGGACAGATGGTCGTACGTTTTCCTGCAAAATTTCTTGATAAACTCTGGAATTCATTTTCCCATCAATGACAACAATCCGTCCAGGCCCTGAGGCAGCAAAGCAGCCCCAAACCATGATGCTCCCTCCGCCATGTTTTACAGTGGGGATGAGGTTTTGATGTTGGTGTGCTGTGCCTTTTTTTCTTCACACATAGTGTTGTGTGTTCTTCCCAAACAACTCAATCTTGGTTTCATCTGTCCACAGTATATTTTGCCAGTAGTGCTGTGGAACATCCAGGTGCTCTTTTGCAAACTTGAAACGTGCTGCAATATTCTTTTTGGACAGCAATGGCTTCCTCCGTGGTGTCCTCCCATGTATTCCATTCTTGTTTAATGTTTTCCTTATTGTAGATGTGTCAACAAAAATGTTAGCATGTGCCAGAGATTTCTGTAGGTCTTTAGCTGACACTTTGGGATTCTTCTTTACCTCGTGCAGCATTCTGCGCTGTGCTCTTGCAGTCATTTTTACAGGACGACCACGCCTAGGGAGAGTAGCAACAGTGCTAAACTTTCTCCATTTGTAGACAGTCTGTCTTACCGTGGACACATGAACATCAAGGCTTTTGGAGATACCTTTGTAACCCTTTCCAGCTTCATGCAAGTCAACAATTCTTGATCGTAGGTCTTCTGAGAGCTCTTTTCTGCGAGGCATGGTTCACATCAGACAGTGCTTCTTGAAACCAGTAAACCCAAAACAGGTGTGTGTTTTTTAAGGGCAGGACAGCTGTCAGCAACACATCCAATATCATCACACTGATTGGAGTCAAGGTTGGCTCACTCCTGGCTCCAATTAGCTCTGGGAGAAGTTATTAATCTAGGGCCTCACATACTTTTTCCTCCCTGCACTGTGAATGTTTACATGTTATGTGCAATTAAACCATGGCAACATCTAATGTTTGTGTAGTATTATGTTCAGCAGACTGTGTTCTTCTATTGTTGTGACTTAGATGACGTTCAGAGCACATTTTATGCCCAATTCATGCAAAATTCCACGTAATCCCAAGGGGTTCACATACTTTTTCTTGCAACTGTACATTGTAAAAAATAAATCCTGACAGGGGTTTTGGTCCTGTACTCTGTCCCAAAAACATTTTTTTGGTTTAAAATTTTCTTATATTTTTCTATAACGCTGGAGATGCAAAATTATCAGCCTACTGCAAGTGTAGGGGTTTTTGCTGTATTTTGGGGGACACGATTCAAGTTTTTCTTCAGTTACTGAAACCTTACAACTTTATTTCTCAACTTTTGCAAATAAGTTTTTTGAAATATAGCTTTTCAGTTTTTTATCTTTAACAGCATATGTTACTCATCTTTAGAAATACCCACAAAAGTGGCCTGCAAAAGTTGCAACACAAGAATTCGAGATCGCTCGTCCACCATTGGGATTGATTTACTAAAACTGGAAGAGTGCAAACTCTGGCGCAGTTCTGCACAGAAATCAATCACCTTCCAGGTTTTAATGTCAAAGCTTAAGACCCGGTCACACTCAATGCGAATTGGCATGCGATTTTCATGCCATGTGACTTGGAAATTGCATGCCAAATCACAGCCTATTGTCTGCAATTAGAGCAGTAATATCGGTGCTGTTCCAACTTGGTCGGAACAACACCGATTTCTAAAGTAGCACACTTTTGGTGCGATTTGCATAGACATCTGTATCAGATGTCTTGCAAATCGCACCTGAAATCGGCATGTCATCCAACTTCACTGTAAGTCGTACGATTTCAAACTAGGGTTTGATGTGACTGGGGTGTAATGGAACAAGCTGAAGTTATGCAGGCAATACACGGGTCGAATGGTGAACAAATTTTTTTAGAAAATCAGAAATTTAATACGTTTTGTAATCCAATGGCGCCACCATTGATTTCGACATTTGACCAACAAAGCCTTCCATTTTACCTCATGTTGCTACAGAAAAGAATTTTCGTGGCCAAGAATTTTCTTTTCTTTCCAGGTCACAGCTCATTTCTTTTTCGTTTTATATTTCTTGCACGATTCTCCATCATTGATTCGAAATTCGTTCATTTTTCCAAAAATTTCCAACATGGCCGATCACTCAAATTCGCTGGTCGCACGAAAATCGGTAGTTTCTGTGATCCACTAATGGTGTGAAATTCGAACGAAAATTCTTAGAAAAGATTTTGGAAAGAAAATTCTTTTGGAATTCGACCCGTGTATGGTCGGCTTATAAGCTGATTGGCTGCTCTGCACAGCTGCACCAGATTTTGCACTCTCCAGTTTTAGTAAAAATGTCTGTAAATAGGCCACTGAAAGTGAAATCCCAGTACTGTAGTTCAAAAGGTTATGCATGAGATATAAAACCCCAATCAGTCTTTTGAAGAGAAATACGAACTGCCGGACTGTTCTTTAGAACAAAAAAAAACCCCAAGATGCTGCAAAAATAAAAGTGATTTTGACATGTGGCAAGGAATGTTGAAGAAATAAAGAGGGTAGCCTAGAATGACAAAGGCTTGTTGAAAAGCTCAAGGCTATATTGGGGAGCTGAATCTGTGGTAGAGGGAGATAGAATGCTTATTCTGCATCAGCGAGTTTCACTGCTACAATTGTGATGTCCCTAATCTAAAAAATTAATAGAGAGTGAGATTCCTTTGCAATGACT